ACGATCCATCCAGTGAGCCAAACCAGCCAGGGCACCCCCAGGGGAATTTAATGAAGTATTCAGTGATGTTTGGCTACTACTATCCCTCAGGGAAGGGTCAGCACATGCATTTGCCCAGTATGACATGGATCAGTTCACACCTGTGAAGACAGAAGGATAGGAAGATCAAGTCTTAATTATAGAACACGGGGACTTGGGTAACAGCAGATTTTTAGATCCCAGAAACAAAATTCCCTTTAAGTTTGATCACTTATGGAAAGAAGCAAGTGAGCCCCCTGCCAGAGGAAGTAGATGGAGATCTGAAATCTTGGAGAGAATCCTGTGACAGCGCTTTAAGGGCCTGTGTGAAAGACCATTATTCCAGTGGCTTCTGTACTGTTTGTGCTAAAACTATAGACGGGCAACAGACCATTCTTGCATGTATTGAAAGCCACCAGTTTCAGCCTAAAAATTTCTGGAATGGTCGTTGGACATCAGAATGGAAGTTCACCATCACACCACCTACAGCCCAGGTGGTTGGAGTACTTAAGATTCAGGTACACTATTATGAAGATAGCAATGTTCAGTTGGTTAGTCATAAAGACGTACAGGATTCAGTAACTGTTTCCAATGAAGCACAAACTGCCAAGGAGTTTATTAAAATCATAGAGCATGCAGAAAATGAGTATCAGACAGCAATTAGTGAAAACGATCAAACAATGTCGGACACCACATTCAAGGCCATGCGCCGGCAGCTTTCAGTTACCCGCACCAAAGTCGACTGGAACAAAATACTCAGCTACAAGATTGGCAAAGAAATGCAGAGTGCTTAAAGGCTGAATGTAAGATTCCTAGGTACATGGAAAGAAAGGTTTCAATGTATGGTCATCCTATCTAATAATAGAGGAACATTCAAATTGACCATACCCCTGAATGCTTCCCATTGGCTAATCAGGGAGATATGCAAATTAACTGCCAACCAAGATGGTGGCCGGCAGCTAGGCAGCTGAAGCGAAGAGGAGGCTTGCTTGCTCCAGTGAAGGAGGAAGCCAAGGTTCCCCGCCTGCCGCTGCTGGCCTCTGAGCTGCAGTCTAAGAAACAATGTACAAATATAGAAGCTAAACAAACCCCAGAAACCTGCTTTCAGTCAGCCAGGATTTCAGAGCTGGAGTTGAAACAGTGTTTCAATTATAGAACCCAAACAAACTCCAGATCCCTGCTTTCAGCAGCTGAGGCCAAAAGCTAGAGCCAGCCTCAGAGCTAAAGCTGGCCCAGAATAAAAAAGAAAAAAAGGAGTGGTTGGGAGCTTCAGTCACCCCCAGCCTGAT